TGTAACGCATTACTTTCCATAAAAAGTAACTAATTACCGTAATTAGTTACTTTTTTTAAGGGAGTAACGCAATATTGTAATGCATTACTTTTAAAAGTAACTTTCCCCAACACGGATCACAACAATACCTCACAGGACTATGATGACGTCGCCAAAATAAAAAAACATACAAAAAAATGATTATTTAAATAACTTTAAATATAAAATAAATAAATAAAAGGATTAAAATGTCGCATGTTGGATTTAAAACGTCTTCGTTTTTCATTCGGCGTGAATGCGGAAACGCCATTTGCCTAAATAGTAACGTTATCCTCCTCACAAACAATACATGCTGCATATTCTCATGCTGATAACTCACCAATAATGCAAAAACTTGCCAGAACTGGCCTTTAGATAGCCTGACCACTGGCGGTAATTGGGTTTGAAAGACATGCCCGGCAGATCCAGCACCTCATCTGGATCATACACGCCGCTCGCGACATGCTCAGACACGGACAGAAGACAGAAGAAGACACGCAGAGAAAACATTTCACACAGCCTGATGGACATGAACCTGTACACACGGCTTGAAGACTCCAGCGACCCTAGGGTTCGCGTTGCCCTTTCTCTGCCTGTCATATGACTTTAACAGTCGTCAGGTGATGCGGACAAACTAGCCTCCGCCCATCTAACCAGACTCTCTCTCGCTGTATGCGTGTCACCTTCTTGTTCTGCTTTTCCTTCAGATGATTATTATAATCAGATTAAGGATCATCATAGCAGATTCATTCAAATGACTTTGCTGGATCAGCTAGGTAGGAAAAATACAGAAGAGCAAATGTAGACCTATGCATAAAATAGAATTGGTTTTTAAATTAACTTTAACAAATGCTCGAAAGTGCAGACAGACTGCAATATCTAACCCTCATTAACAAAACCAGAGATTTGAAAAAGATTTATGCTGAAAAATAAATTAGACCTCTTTTACAGATATGTTAAACACATTTTAAAATTCCTTTCAAATTTGCTACATTTTAAAGAATTGTTATAGAATAATATTGATTGATGTACTCGTAGCTTAAAACAGTACTTTAATTGCAGATATGTTACTGCATTTATCCAAAACATGCAAATGAAAAGGGACAGGTATCAGTATGCATGATGGCTTCTTCATACACAGCATGTTTTTAATTGTTATATTCTTATCAAAGGTTTACTGTTTTAATTCAATAAAACCTGAATTGTTTTTTTAAATAGACCTTCCTTTCAAATCCCAATGCATTTCCAAAGAAATCATCTGTTAATTAAGTGCAGTACACTTTTTGTCAACGGCAATGTTTAAATTGCTTTTTCAATACAATATTGTATAGTTGAACAAGATGAACAATGTTTAGAATTCATACAGCCAAACTGACCAAGCATGACTGGATAGGATACTTACACCAAAAAGTCTTTCAGACATTTTTACAGCTTGGTAGTTGGATGAATTCGGTTCCTAATAAAGTCATCAGTAAAACACAATAAATCTAATTCATCCTCAAGAAGTGCTGCAGAAGATATTTGGAAAAACCCATCATGCCCTTGGCCTAAATGACAAGCATGAGTCTTTAGGTGTACTTAATGTTACTACTTTAAACCTATCCTTCATTTTGTGGCCAACCATTTACTTTTTCTGTGTATTTAAATATTTTTATTCTTTTTAAGTTGCATGCATGAGAGTTTAACTGCATCTTGCAGTTGAAGAACAAAAAAAAAAAGGTTGACAATGGAGCACCAAAGCAGTTTGCTGATTTCTCAGGGAACATCCCTTTAGTGATTGCACTGAAACAGTAAAACATACAATAATACACGATTGTGCAAAAGCAAACATGCATCTAGTGTTACTGATTAAATCCATGAGGAATTTTCATATGTAGGCATTATTGAGAATTGGAGCGTGTGGTACAAAAAGGGGTTACCAGCACACCACAACTGTGACTTGCACAATTAAACTGTTAGGAGAATGGTTTAATGGAACCAATAAATTCTCATTCTCACACTTCAGTACCAGAATTTCTCCCCTAAAACTAAATAAACACAAAATAATTATTGAGTTTTCAGTTAACCATCTCACTCACTCAAGTACCAGTGAACTAATAAAATCAGAGATAATTGCACCCTTGGCCTAAGCAACAATTTCATGAAAAACACATTCAGAAGATGTGGCTAAAACAACAATGCATTAAATGAAAATAAAAACCATTCATCAAGTATTTTTTGAAATACAGTTTAAATAATGATCATTTTATGTCACTTCTGATCTAAAGTCACACTCTCTCACACACACACACAAGATCTTATGGAACTGTAGAATTACATGTTTAGCAGTGCAAGTCATCAAGAAAAAAAGTTTGCAATAAGATTCTAAGGGTAAACATTATGAACACTGACCACATTTGCAATGTCAAGCATATAAGGCCTTCATAAAATCAGTTTCTTAAAAAAAACATAAAAATTAAAAAAGAGAATGGACAAAAAACAATTACATTTCAAAAGAAAGAGGCTATATTTGGAAGATCTAACACTGGAGGATTTAACACAATGTCCATATCCATTCAGAAAATAGTGACGTATATTGTCCTTCACAGGGGTCCTCCATTCACAAACAGCCAGAGCAGAGAGCTTGATGCTGCATGCAGGTGGATGATCCACTACATCAAGAGGTACAGACTTCTGTGGGACTGCTGCACTTTACAATAGGAGAAATTTGCAACAGTCTCCTGAAGACTGGATAGAGGTCAGTGGTAGACGTGATTTGGACAGGCTTCTTTCCCTTGTTTTTAATTGGTCTCTATTGGTTCACAGCCCAATATTCATGAGGTCACAACAACTCGTCTATGGGCTGCTGGGATGATTGATGATATCTTGGTAGATGGCATTTGTGGTCGTCTGGCCAAAGATGAAAGCACCAATCGTAACCATAACAACCCCATAGGCCACCATTCCCTTCCAACTATAGAGAAATAAATAGGTCATCAGTTTTATCTTTGAATACACAAGTCTTTAGGCATTGCTGAATATTGTTTATAAAGATAATTCACCCAAAAATGACAATTTTGTCACCCTTTACTCACCTTCACATCATTCCTAACCCATAAGACTTTCTTTCATCCTCGAAACACAAGTGAAGATATTTTTAATGAAACCTGAGCGACTGCTGTCCCTCCATTGAAAGTCCATTCCACCAAAACTGACACTTCAAAAAGTTCATGTAAATGTAACCCATGTGAATCAAGCAGTTTAATCCAAGGCTTCTGACTGCTATATATAATAAACCAATTTCGTTTAGGCTTTTGTTCACTTATTACTATTGATCAAAACACATACAGCAGAAGCTCAAACGTCAATCGTACGACCAACAGCATTAATGTGCTGTATGTATATGCGTTGTTCAATATGTGTAGATGTTTGTAAGCCTAAATTAATTGTTTATCTTAAAAAAAGATGGAGTCTCTTCAGAAGAGTTGCTTTATTAAAGTGAAATCGTTTTTTTTTTTTAACAATGTCTTTTACAGTAACTTTTTGAAGCATCATTTGGTGAAATGATCTTAAAGACAGAAATCTCTCAAGTTTCATTAACAATTTCTTCCTTTGCATTTTGGACATGACCAAATGTATCTTATAAGTTTAAAATGACATGAGGGTGATTCATTAATGATTATTTTTTGGGTGAACTTTCCCTTTAATAAGTAATAAATGAGTTTACCTGGTTGATCTGACATCATGCTCTGAAAGCTTTGCCTGAATCAAGCACAACCCTATAGACAAGCATTAGAAGAATAAATGCAGTCACTGTTTGTAAAAACACTGACGTGATAGAAGCAAAAAGTAAAGTCTAAGAACAATTTAACTGTAATACCTGGAAACACAAAAATGAAGCATGCAGCCAAACCACCAATTAGTGAAATCACTCGTCCGATATCAGGAATGAAGAGAGCAAGAATTAATGTGAGACAAAACCAGACGACTGTCTGCAGTATTCTCCGTCTCCGTTCCCTGGCCACATCTGTCTCCACCTCCTCTCCTTTAAAACGCAACCACAAACCTTCCAGCACTGCCCTAAAGCACAAACAAATACACATACTTTCTTTAGATTTGACAATAAATGTGTCTTTCATAGACACACACCTATAGACCATAAAGCCTGTTACCTTCCACAGAAGTGCAGGATTGGATATGAGGTAACAACACAGATGATGATGAAGGCTCGAGCAATGGCCACCGCAATGTCATCAGATGGATATGACATCAAAACATCCTGGCTTACGCTTGAGCCAAATGACAGGAAGCCACAGACACCTGCGGAGAAAAAACAAGCCCAAACATTCCACAATCAGTTCATATTGGCATGAATGCTGCAGTCTGCTTTATCATTAGAATATTTCAGCAAATTCAAAATATGCACACCTGTGCCTGTATACACAAAGAGGCAGATGATCACGCTGACTGTAACAACTGCCCACCAGGGCCGGATTTCTGGCTTCTTCATGCTGTTGAAAACTGGAACGCTACTGACATGACACTGGGAAAACGAAAGTGAGGAGAATGATCGAGTTCGATCTAGCAAGATTTCAAAAGTAGTGAATTCAGACATGTCCTTGGCTAAGAAAGATATGCTACTTTTATGAATACTTTCATACAAGGATGCATCAGATTAGTCAAATGTGCCATTACAGACATTAATAACATTACAAATGATTTCTATTTCACATGAATAGTAAAGTTCACACACCTGGAAACCAAAGCAGATTGTGGGCATGGCATTGAACACATCGGTCCAGGATGCAGGGCTGAAAGACAACAAACATCACATTACAGTAGTGATCACAATCTCTTCTGTAATGTGTAACTCAAATAACTTTTTAAAATGTACTTCTGACCTGACTGGGATGATTCCTGGAGAAACGTCTTTGTCGGGCCAGATGTATTTGACGATGATTATGATTGTCACATACCAGGTGCCGATAACACTCAGGGTGCTACAGATTAATCAGTACAAATGTGCATGTATGATTTAACCAGCAAATACTCAGAAACATCTTGGATAATCAAAAGTGCAATTTAAGCAAAAACATTTGCACTAGTCACAGCTGTGACATAACACTGCACTGCATAAAACAATAACTTAGTTAAACAATATAGGAAGAAAAACAAGACGTTTCTACCTGGCATACTTCTGGAAGCCAATCTCTTTGGGTATAGATAGAGGAAGTATGATCAGCACTGAGGTCAAAGTGATGGTGAACTTGCGATCTGTGTACCAGTGCGAACTAATCATCTTCTCCGACTCATGATTTATTGCGCCAATCACTGTAGGAAGAACGACAGGAAATGAGACTACTCTCTTTAGACTATTTTGACATCTATATATATGTGAACGTACTTACGCTTGTCTAACTGATCGCCAATTATAATAAGGAAGGCTATGCAGGTGCCAAATGTGTAAACAGCAATGCCCAGCTCACATACGACACCAAGAACCTTCCCACACACAGCACGAATCACCTCCTGATATGTTGTTTCATTGCTCACCTAAAAAAATGTGGAGTGTAAAGCAGTGGATTTCAGCCTTTGTAATTCTGAGGTCAACTACTGTCAAAGTCGAAATTCAGCTAGGGCTGTCAATACAAAAACTGTAACTTACATGGTGATTCATCTCAAGATTTTTGTAAATAGTGATTTAATACATTGTGCCTCTTTAAAGAACAGAAATACACTACCGTTTAAATGTTTGGGGTCATTTATTAAAATATTTTTGAAACAAAATAAAGGCGTTATGCTTACTAAGCTGCAATTATTTAAAGGGGTCATATGATGCTATTTTTAAAAGATCATTATTTTGTGTATTTGGTGTAACATAATAGGTTGACATGCCTCAAGGTAAAAAAAAACACATTATTTTTCAAATACTGTACATTATTGTAGGTCCTCTATGCCCTGCCTCTCTCAAACGCTTCGTTTTCAACAAAGCCCCCTCCTTCCGACAAGCGCAGTCTGCTCTGATTGGCCAGCTGACCCAGTGCATTGTGATTGGCCAAACACCACAAGCACTCGTCGGAAATGTAACGTCCCTTACCATAAGCGCGAACTTCATCTTTCAAAATAAATGTAAAGACAGAGCCCGAAAGGGGAACAGAGTCGCATGACAGACACAGTGATGAAGCTGGTGTATGTGTGCAGTACACAAGCCACGGTTAAGACAGTTGACTCCACTGTGATGTGATCCCCTCTCTCTCGCGCTCGCTCGCGCACACACACACACACACACACACACGATGCGCAAAACTCCGCATTTGAACAGTCAATAGCAAATACTTAAACTAATAACAAAACAGTAGATGATTCAGAAGCGCCAGATTGTCATAGCAAAGTCAGAATTTCCTCCTCTCCTAGTTTCACGAAATGGTCCTCCATAAAATGCATTGCTGTTCTGTTGTAAGTCATCTTAAAGATTCCTAAATGCATCTACTTCCCGAAGGCCAAATAAGGTGCTTTTGCTTTCGCCTAGAAACACCCAGCGTCTCCCTGACATGCTGCTTCAACACTAACTGCGGTTACTGAAACCACGCCTTCTTTCTTTGCGTGAACATTTGGGCGGCATTATGCTAATATTTCCACATAGTGAGGCAGATATGTGGGGGCGTGTTAGAACGAGCCGTTTTAGGGGGGCGTGGCAGAGTCTTAACTTTGATAAAGAATCTCTCTTTGGTTTTGAGACTTTAGTCTTTGCAACTTCAGGGATCTTATCTATGCACAATCAGCTTGTTACACTCCAAAGAGAAAGGAAAACTTGAAATCGCATCATATGACCCCTTTAATAAAATGCGATTAAAAACAGAAATATTGTGAAATATTATTACTATATAAAATATGTTTTCTATCATAATATATTTTAAAATGGAATTTATTCCTGTGATGACAAGTATTTATCCTTATTATACATGTTAAAACATTTTAGCTGCTTAATATATATATATATACATAAACTGAGATATATATTTTGGATTTTAGGATTCTTTGATGAATAGAAAATTCAAAGGAACAGCATTTATTTGCATAAGAAATCCTTAGTAACAATGTTAAAAATCTTTACTGCAACTTTTTAACAATGAAATGCTTTCATGCCTTGCTTTGAATGGTAGTGCATATTCTCTTGATCTCTGACACAGATATTTGCTTACCTGAGAACAATAAGCCAAGATCACCAGCCCAGTGATGATAAATACCATCATACACTGTGAAAGGTTAAAGATGAATAAGGCTCATTTGGAATTTCACAACATTTACTTTCAAGTGAACACTGTATGTATGGTTTTGTTTACAAAAGTTTGTAAGTGCATCTCACCATTTGAAGGGTCACTCCGGCTGTGACGCCTCCAGCCATGTTGAAAGCAGCAGGAAAATTGAGAAGTCCGGCTCCCAGAGCAGCATTCACCACAATAAACACAGCCCCAAGTAATGAAGTCCCTCCCCTTCTGTCGTCAGATTGATTAGGTGGTTGGATGGAGTCCACACTGGGGCTCTGCAGGAGCCATGCTCTTTCACCAGCATCCTCACTGTAGCCCCAGTCACCCGCTTCACTGTTAATCGCCCTGTCTGCCCTCGACATGATGCTTGCTTTTCTCAAACACTCTCAGATAAACAAGGACACCATCGGGCAAAAGTAGAGGCAAACACACTTGTGCTGTCAGTCAGAGCCTTTGTCCACCATTGAGGGGGCAAATGTGCAAACACACACCTGGACTAACACACATCTACAGAGTCCATTCAGTTACAGAGAGGCTGTCGTGTTTTGTGATCAATGTCACCTGTGAAAAAACAGAAAGAGAAAATATCACATGGTTCATCAGCATCATAAAGTGACATAGGACAAATCTGAATTGACAGGACACGACTGCATTACTCAGCTGATCAAACAGAACTATTATTACAATTTAAAATAACTGCTTTCTATTTGAATATATTTTAAAAGTCTTCAGTGTCACATGATCCTTCAGAAATCATTCTAATATGCTGATTTGCTGCTCAAGTAACAATTCAATGTTCAAATTCAAAACATTATGACTGTTGAAAAGAGTTATGCTGCATATTATTATGGAAAGCATGACACATTTTTTTCAGGATTCTCTGATGATCATAAAGTTCAAAAGGACAGTTTTTATTTGGAATATAATGTCTTCACTGTCACTTTCGATTGAATTCATCCTTGCTGACTAAAAGTATTAATTTCTGTCAAAACTATTTTGAAAAGTGTATTTGCGACTTGTCTGAAAGAGGTTGATCTAAAGACTAAAACGGTTGATCAGCATCATAAAAAGACACCCAGTGTGGTCTGCACTTTAGGACACGTCTGTAAGTCACGGGACACGATTGTATTTCTCAGCTGATCAGTAAGCAGAAATTTCAGACAAGTGATGAGGAAATGAAATATGCTGTCCACAGCATTGCAAAAAAAAAATGCAGCATTGTCTCAACCTTATCATTAGGGGAGCTCGATTTCTTGAAATCTCTATCCTAAATGTCCTAGGACGAACAGAAGATAGTGGTAGAAGTTGATGTCAACATTATAGCTGTGACATTGCCACAATGTAAAGGGATTATCCTAACAATGAATAACTCAAGATTCAATCAAGACACCAGGCCAAGTCTAGGCACTGACATTCATGATCAAACACTACTAGGCAACACCTAACGCTATTTCATTCCTAACTATCACATGCTCTATATTCACTGCTCTAAGAGGGTAAACAAAACATGCCATGACAAACCCGAACAATCACATGACTCACATAGCAACACTGCACTTGTTTAGCTAATAAACTCTCCCGGTACGAACAAGATGTGATAAAGCAGATGTCTCACCTCATGTGTATGTTCTTCGCTGATCTTGTACTGTACTGAAGAGCATCGGTGTGATGTTTTTCAGTGAGGAACAGAGATAAAGATGTGGCCGCTGCCGCCTCCGCGGAGATCTGTGAGGTATGTTTTGCTTACACAGCAGCAGCAGACCGATCAGTGTATGACATCAAAGTATCGCGAGAGCGATGCGAACGCATACGCAGCCGTCTTCGCTCTCGCGGTACTTTGATGCCATACGCCGATGAGCTTCCTCTTCTTCCTCGGTTTTTTGGGGGGGTAGCATCAAAGTTAAGGTGCATTATCGCCACCTAATGTATTGGAGTGTGGACCAGAGTTTACCCATTTCATAATGAGAGAGAGAAAAAAAGCTCTTAATCAGCTCTGTTCTCTTGAGATAAAGAAATAAACTCTCTAATCCATAAGTAAATATATTTTTAAGCTTTAGTTCATCCATGCACCGCTCTGTCTGCGCAGCGCCGCTTCATATGGAACGTTTGACGCTGCAGTCACATGGCTTTCAGCTTATGGGTAATGTAGTCTATTCTACTGAATAGCTATTATGTGTAATATCCAATTTAACATCTCTGATAAGGCTCCACTTTGCGCCATCTATAATGTTTGTGGATGAATCTGCCATCACTCTTTTTTTTCTTAATATGTCCACGTTGCAATATTTTGAAGAAGAAAAAAAAACCTTAACTTCTTTGTATGTGCTTCTCTTTTGGACAGTCAAATATTTTCTGATACATTTAGATAGATTCATTTATTTTTCTAGGTAAGGTTTTCTTTTATAAGTGTCAATGGGTACCCATTATCTGGATACCCTTTGTATCATACTGTGTAGTGTATATAATATTTTTGCATTCTTATAATGTTTATTAGATGATTGTACAGTGTATACCCCTGGAAACAGACCATATAAAATAGCTGTTTTTAACAATGAAAATAATACAAAAACATATTTTAGATTTTTTCCTTTGAATAGATTGATATTTTTGTAGCAAAAGGAATAATTTATTTACTACAAGTAATATCAAGCAATCCAATTTCATCCCCTTTAAATCGACACCCAAGACATAGCATTTATATCTTTTCTACAGCACTGCTGAACTACAAGGAAATACTCTTTTGTTATTTTTGTTCACATAAATTGTAGCGTTGAATGCATGTTGTCCATTCATCTGTCACCTAAATTACTGAGGAAGAATTTTTTTTACTTTGTTTAATTTAGGGGAAATGTAAGTTTATCAATTAGCTTGCAAAATATGACTTTGATTAGAAACCTAAACGGTGCAGAATCTTTTAAATTAAAAAAAAACTTAACTTTATTTACAGTTTTAAATTAAAGAGCCAGCAGCTATTATAGATAAAAACACACAAAAAATGTGTCTACATCACAACGGAGTACAAACACTGCTGTTATACTCCTTGATCTGATCACACACTTTGACAGGTTTTTGTACAAGTATACAAAGAGTAAATCTAAATTCATTTTCATTCAAGAAAAAAGGGACTGTAATTTTACTGAGTTTCAATGTGGTTTACTGTGTGTGTGTGTTTTGTTGTGTGCCCTAACAATGACAACAACAAAACATCAGTAAATGGACACAATACCCTTTATTATTGTTGTTCATTTTACTTCACTCACACAATAAATAAAGTTCATACAGAATTTTAACAGTATGACAAATGTTCTCAAATGTGCTTATTGGTCACAGAACCACAAGATATCCTGTGAAATGACTTAAGGTTACTGTTAGACACCCTGATAACATGTTCAGGATTCATGTTGACCTAGCAAAACAGCCAAATGAAGTGAAGCCGAGATCTGAGTCCAAAGAGGAATAGTGGGGCGGACTAACAGAAACAGGACTAGTAGACCAATCTCCTGTCTCAACATAAGTTTGATCTACTTAGTGACCTGATGAATGGCATGTGCAAGGTATCCCACATTTCCAGAGGTCACACCGGCAACGCTGATACGGCCATCTTTAGTCATGTAAACAGAAAACTCCTTTGTCAGACGCTCCACCTGAAACACAACAGCACATCCTACTATTAGAGCTTGCACCAATTTACAACATTTAATTATGCATATGCATAAATATTCTCATTTTTGAGTAAGGGTTGTACCTGCTCAGGTTTGAGTCCAGTGAAGCAGAACATGCCGATTTGGTCGATCACGTGTTGCCAGTTGTGAGTAGAGCCCTCCTTCGTCAGATTAGTCACAAGCATTTCTCTCATTTCAATGATACGGTCGGCCATACCCTTCACCTCCTCCAGCCTACAGAAATACACGCATGTCAAAAAAGGCATGAACTTTTATAAAAGCAAGTTATTAAGGAGTCTCACCATGTAGAACGCAGGTCTGGTGTGCTGAGGATCGTGGAGGCGATGCGTGCTCCATTCATGGGTGGGTTGGAGTAAATGGGGCGAATCAGGATCTTCAGCTGAGACTCCACCCTCTTGGCCTCCTCAAGATCAGCACACACCACTGTGAACCCTCCAACACGCTCACCTACAACAAACAGTCATATGACTATGGTGGTGTGTGAAACTATTAGAGAGTCAAAGAGTTTGTGGTCAACATGTTTTTTGCTTTTTAAATTTTTTTACTTTTAGTCAGCAAGGACTACACTGATCAAATGTGATTTACAAAGTTGCAAAATATTTCTATCTATTCATCAAAGCAAACTTTTTCAGTGACAGACATAAAATATATTTTAAAATACAATACAAAAGAAAACAGTTATTTTAAATTGCAAAAACATATTGCTGATTTCTTTCAAAACATTAAAACATCTTACCAACCCCAAACTTCTGAGCGGTAGTGAATGTAAGGTATGTATTGCTTTTTGTTCAATGACTTCATTTTCTTTGGATTTTTTGTGTTATTTTCTGCCCTAAGTCATCATTACATTTTTTTTTTGCGCTATTAGGACAGGCTGTGTCTGTCCAGCCTACAGAACAGATGCATTTAAGGGACACACTGTGCTAAACTTTATTGACCGGTTAAATGTTACAAACCGTTACACCCTGTATCTATGATGTTAATTACATTGATGTCATATTAATAAGAGTGCAGTATGTGGATCTTTCATCTAAATTATTTTTTAACTGAAAAAAAAAAAACATTTATAAAATTTCTTACACTTCTAAAATTATTTTTTTTAAATTAAAAAGTAAAACACTGGCCTCACCAAATGGTGACCAAAAAAAACAAATATAAATGTTAACATATAACAAAATATATTGGATAATTCATAGGTCAGATGACCAGATATCAGATAAATGTGAGTCATGTTTTTTTTAGTTTTTTTTGCAATTTACACACATCAAGATCCAATCTGGGCTGGATATTGGTAGAAAATAAAAAAGGAAATGGTTTACAGTGTAAATGTAGTGTCCTACACACAATATACTCACCATAGAGACCCATGTTCTTGGCAAAGGACTGAGACAGGAGGACGTTGTGCCCCTGCTCAATGAAGTATCTCACAGCCCAGGCATCGCGATCAATATCTCCACTAGCAAAGCCCTGGTAGGCCATGTCGAAGAACACTAGAAGTTTCCTCTTCTGCAGAGAGAGAGTGGACAAGAAGATGCCAAGCAACATCAGGTCAACGGTCTGTAGTATCTCATCAATTAAGGAATTAAAAGAAACATCATTATTTTTGCTATGCTTTACAAATAACGCCTATGTGAAATGGAGGAGGAGGTATGAAATGTAAAAAAAAAACAATCACAGCAACAGACACACACACCTTGATGACAGCCGAGAGTTCCTTCCACTGCTCTGGTCGGGGGTCGACACCAGTGGGGTTATGAGCACAAGCATGGAGCATGATTACACTATGCTCTGGAATTTTCTGTAGGTAAAGAAAAGATGATAAACATTCAATGCATCTCAGACAAGCATTTCTAGTTCAGCGTGACAAAATCATTCTAACACGCCGATTCGGTGTTCAAGAAACATTTCTTATTATTATCAATGTTGAAAACAGAGGTGCTGCTTAATATTTTTGTGGAAACTGTGATACATCTTTTCCAGATTTTTTAATGAATTCAAAAAATGTAAAAAAGAACAGCATTAATTAAAAACAGAATTTGTCACATTATACAAGATTTTACTGGCTCATAAGACTGTATAGGAAAGTGTACAATGTGACGCTGGCTCACCGAGATGTCATCGAGTGCTCCAGTAAAGTCAAAGCCACAGGTAGCAGGATCATAGTACCGGTATGCTTTCAGCTGCATACCAGCATCACGGAAAATAGGGGTGTGATTCCCCCAGGATGGCTTCGGCAAGTATACATCCCTTGCCACTGTGTGGAACCGCGACTAACGGAGAAAAAGATGAGAAAGGCGTGTAAGACATTATAAACAATTACCATATGACATATAAGTGCTATATTTGTGTTTGCTTCTTCTACGATATTCTAAGGTAATACTAGATGAGGCAAAGAAAATGTCCTTCTTCTCAATGTGGAGATGATAAACAGCTGCAAAGCTTGTTTGCTGCAGGAATGAACAGAATGAATGAAACACACACCAGGAAGTTGGCTCCAATCCTCAGAGAACCAGTGCCCGAGATTGTCTGGACAGTAATGCTCTAAGAAAGAAAAAGAAAGTGAAAAAGAAGAAAACAACCAAAGGTGTTCAAGTTAACACAATAACGTAAGAACCAATAGGTCCTAGAGAAACATACTCACCCTCTTGCTTTTAAGAACCTCACTGTCTGGCCCCAGTGCGAGCTCAGCACAAGCCTTATTAAAGTCACCCAGACCGCCAATGGGCAGATACTCTTTATCCAGCATCTTAGAGGCAATCAAAGCCTCAGCCTAAACAAAAACATGCTTCATTAAAAAAATAATAATACCCACTGCATTTTGATTACATAAAACATTTCCACAAAATGTTTACGATGACTTCTCCACAGTTACAAAGCTGAGGGTTATGAATGTAATTGGTGGATACTGCTTAAACAGAGGCAGCCTCTCAAATCACTCAACTCAGGGTGGCTTTGCCGAAATAGAGAGGGGAAAAAAGCACATGTTAACACAGACACACCACCCCCTGAGTTTTGCCAATGCCATTAGAGCAGACTAACCCTAATGCAAAAACATCTGTACCCTTGAAAACTATTGGTCAGTCACAGACAAGCCCCCTAAGACCTTAATAAACCATCTTACACAGAGCACCACTGC